CTCATTTCCAGCTTTTCATCCACCAAAACAAGCCAAGCCCCTCTCGCCTGAGCCCACCCTCTCACAGCCTGTTTCCCTGCCCGTCTTTCTCTAACCCCCATAACTGTCTGTGGTGGATAAATAATTTTTTGTAACTTTGCCTTTGACCAAATTAAAGGAGCTGGAACTGACAAAATATGCAGCAGAGTTGTGTTATAATTGTCTCTTCCAACCCTACTGAATAGCGAGAACTACCTTGTGTCATGTCTCACAAACCTGGTCATTAAACTTTGACAAAAACTTTGTCTGTTTACAGAGCCCTGACAAAACTTTCTGTTTACAAAATGTGGCTCAAGTAAACAGCTTCTATCACATCTCTCGGTCACATCCAATCAAGCTGAACTAATTGTTTTACCTTTAACATAAGGGAATCCGGAGCTTCCAGTGGCGTACATCCATTCTGAGAGCCAACAAGTTCTGCTCCGTGCACTATGATCTTCTGACCAACAGTCAGCCTTCTTCTATGCAAGAAAGCTTTGAGAGGTGGATCCAGAAGGGCTCTAATCCCATACCAGCCATCAGTAACTTCAATTATTGCTGCTGTGTTGATACTTTCCACATTCTTATTGCTACTGCTAGGAGATACAACGGTGTTTAGCAATATGATTTTTGAAATACACAGCACAAGTGTTTTACCTGCCGCATCATCTCTCTCTGTTATTTTTTTGATTGCTGATCGTTTACTTTTATCGATTTCCAAATCGTACCTACAAAAAAGAACCAATGATGCTCTGTTAAAGCAAATTAAATCCATCACATTGATTAAGCAATAGCTTGTTTTTCCATAAAAACAACTGTAGCAATCTACATGATTAAGTAGCAAAGTGAAACTAAATTTTTGCAAATAACCTCCATTACATCGTTAATATCAACATCCCTAAGTTTAACAATATAAGTAGCGACAGGACAAGGGGTAACAGGTTTAAATTGAAAGTGGGGAGGTTTAGATTAGACATCAGGAAGAAGTTCATCCCAGAGAGGGTGGTGAGGCACTGGAACAGGTTGCCCAGAGAAGCTGTGGATGGCCCATCCCTGGAAGTGTTCAAGGCCAGGCTGGATGAGGCTTTGAGCAACCGGGTCTAGTGGAAGGTGTCCCTGCCCATGGCAGGGGGGGTGGAACTAAATGGTCTTTAAGCTCCTTGCCAACCCAAACCGTTCTGTGATTCTGGTAAATAGTAAATGCAAGGTAGAGGTGCTTATTTGGTAGCACCATGAACTGGAAAGCAGACAGTATCACAGATTACGACTCTACACACACTGCTAGGCACGTACCTATATTTCAACTGTAACAGCACTGTTTCTGGTGTCAAACATCTGTTAGCAAACTCGTGTGGAAAAGACACTTCCATGCCTGCCAATTTCCATACAATCCACCTGTAGTGATTGTAAACCCAGGCCTCTGTTATGAGCTTGGGATCCACACCAGGAGTGTCACAGAGGGCTCTGCAGATAGATTGTTAATAAATTAACCTAAAATCCACTGTACATTTTACTCGCTTATTTATCCCCAGCACTGCATTTAGTATATGTACAAAAGTGACATTAACAAAGGAATGTTTATTATCGTGAAAACGGGAAGGTTACATTGCATAACCTGGCCTGCTTATTGTCTGAATAAGGAAGGTCTGCCCTTAAATGCTTTGGCAGCGTGCATGTCCACACATGTGTGTGTTACTGAAACGGAGATTTTGAAACCAGCAGTAGCTCCAGGCTTCACACAGTTATGGATATAGCACAGAGGGAGAGAGGTGTGCTCTACTCCCCTTTCAGCCCTGGAATTTCCCCTGCTTGCCCAAGCAGTTCATTACAATCTAGTCCCTTCTACTTCACAGTTTCTAGAGTTACAGTTTGGGTATTTTGGATTTGTTTCTTTTTTAAGCATGCATGTGGACAACACATTTCAAAGAAATTTCTCTCCATCGAGTGACTGCTGAAATGGACTTTCAGTCTGTGTTGAGTCCAAGCTGTACCACCGTGACCTGCATGAGCTGGGTTGTAACACCTGTGTTTTCCAGCTCTCACAGTCAGTAGGAGGGCCATTTCATTAAAGGAGGAAGAGAAAGAATCAGACCAGAGGTTCAGATACCTGAGCCATTAGACAGATTAGAACACAAGTTAAGTCCTCTCCTGATAAGATGAAAAAGTCATCTTCCAACTTGTCAGAAAGCCTCAAGAAGTTTTTAAGGAACTGTATTGCAGTTGAGTGAGGAAAAGAAACAATTTAAAAGCCAGAAAGTCTCATACAGGAAGATAAGGAGCAGGCATGACCATCAAATTAGTTATTATTACATTAGAAGAGAGCCAAGCAATCTCAAGCTTTGGGAGATACTCTGATCCTTTGTGAAGGACAATGCAATTCAGGAGATAAAGACAGAATTCAGTTGAAGACTGAGATCCTAAATACAGATGACTAAATGAAAGCATGTATGTTGTAGTAGACAGAAATTTACTTAATATACTTAAAAGGGTTAAAGAGACTGATTCAGCTAATCAACCAGTAGGTACTCTCAAGCATATGCTCTAACACAAAATGAACCCTGAAAAGATGCAGGAACTGAAGGCAACCTCTTGAGGAACAACCTCTACAAATTGCTGAGAGGCTATCTGGTATTCAGGGCCAGATCGACTCTTCTGACACCAAAACCACCGTGGCTATTCTGGGCTATTTAGTGGTATGTTGGTGGTTTCTCTCTTCCGTTTCTGAAAAATTAATGTGGACAAAGATACATATCTGATGGCCTGGCCTGGCCACAGAATCAGGAGCACATATGAAAATGGCTGTTAAGACAGGCTGCCTCTGGAACAAGAAGTTAGACTGGGTAAAAAGGCCAGGTTTTGGCACATCTAGGCATAGCATGTTTTGTGCAAATACTTTAATACCTTTCCCATTCACAGGAAAACTGTGAAATTAAGCAAAGTTACCTCCAGCATATGCCTAAGCAACAGATTGCAAACACTGATCCAGAGTTGGATGCACTGTTCCCAGTGATCTACTGCTTCTTGACAAAAACATCCTCAAACCTCACACTTCCTATTAATTTGTGTAGCAGTGTTACTTGTTGGCCTAGAAAAAGCCATTTCACACGAGAAAAGAATGACCAGTGTGCTTTCTACAATGCACGCGATTCCAGAAGACAGATGTGTAGGCAAGAGGTCCTGCACCATAACTGCACTCAGATCAACATCCCAGACAGTCGTGCATGCACCTACTGTAAACACTTTGTAGGAACATTCCACCTACCAAGTTATATCCCCAAAACATTCAACAACTGTGTCACCACTGGAGGCAAATGCAGAATCAAGGGTTGTACCGCTACTAGCAAAATACTTGCCAAATGGGGAGGCAACAGATAAGTGACAAGTGAGGTCAAGCTCTGCATACTCTGCCTCTGAGCGACTGTATAAATGCATATGCCTACAGGTTCCACAGCTGTCAGTGAAACAGTCGGGGCACACGATGCCACAGGGTGCAAAATGGAATATTGGGAGGATTAGCTTTGCCTTACAATATTTAAAAAACCCACATTTTAAGGACTGCTCTAAGATAAACTTGATTTACTGTCCGAGTTAGAGGGACCTGGACAGGCTGGAGAAACAAGCTGGCAAGAATCTCATGAAATTCAACAAAAGCCAAGTCTCGCATGTGCGATGGAAAAACCCCGTGCAACAGTAACAGGCTGGGGCTGGCTGACTGGGAAACAGCTTTGCTAAAGGATCCAAGGTCCTGGTGGACAACAGGATGGTCATTAGGCAGCAATGCATCCTTGCAGCAATGCAAGGGCTGCCTTATGAGCAAAGCCAGGAAGGCAGTGATCCTGTCCCTCTCAAGTGCTTGAGAGACTGCATGTGAAGTTTCTGTCCAGCTTTGGATTCACCAGGACAAAGATGCTGGTATTCTGGAGCGAACCCTACAGAGGGCCACCAACATGGTCCCCCTGTGCTCCTGGGGCTAAGTACGTGACAGAAAAGCTCAAAGAGCTGGGTTTGTTTGGATCTAAGAGAGAAGGCAGACACCTTTTTGCTGCCTACAACTACCAGACCGGAGGATTCAGAGCAGACAGGGACTGACTCTCCTCAGAAGCACCCATCAAGAGGATGAGAGGTACCAGACATGAGTTGGAACATAGAAAAACTTAATTGGAGATAAGCGTTGTTGTTTTGTTGGGAGGGTGGGGGCATGGTGGTGTTAAGTCATGAGAGTAGTCAACTGGCACAGGCTGTCCAGAGAGACTGTGGAATCTCTGTCCTTGAAGCTGTTCAAGACTCAGCTTGAATACTCCCTGAGTAATTAAATATAATTTGAACAGGGGCTTGGACTGGATGGCTGCCAGTGGTCCCTTCCAACTTAAAACTATTCTACAATTCTGTCAACTCAAGCACTGATTAATCTTCCCTGAGTAGTTGTTGGGTATGGACACACAGCATCTCCAGTTCTCCTAAGATGAACAAGTAGTGCTGACACCAAAAGCATTTCCCAAAGTCACAGCAATGAATTGGCATCAAAAATGTTTCCCAGAGTCATGTGGGAGAAGCCAATAGTGACACTGACTCACTAGCAAGAGCAAAAGGTATTTTTTTCATGAGTACAGATCATGTACCATGGAAGTGCACAACTTACACTAGTTAATTTTCCCGTATTGGGTTACTAGCACAAACTTTCACATAAAAGCATGTCCGTTCCAAGCTCAAGGACTATCTTTGGTATGCTTTGGTACTGGGCAGCAAATATTGCAAACCTCTTGGATTTTGATACTATGTGGGTTGGCAGTGCATGCTTGACTACACATACTACTCAAATACAGGTCCCTGCCTTGAGGGTTTCTGTGAATGCACACCGGCAACAACGCTGACTTGAAAAAAGACCATCTCAAATTAACAGAGGACATCAGATAACAATGGTATTTTCTAAAATTTTGCTGGAAGAACCGTACACTGGTAGTTCCTTGTTCTGTTGCACATGCTTTTGGTGGAGTTACAACATGTATAAACTTGCTTACAGTACAACAAAACTTAACTTTGATGAAAGCGAGAGATGCACTCAAACACACTTTATTTTGAGCTCATCTTAAATGACCTGCGAAAGTAGGGATAAACAGACAAGAGTGCAAGAGCAAAGGCTGCTTGTGCATTTTTTTCCCCCCTTCTTCCATATACTCTAAGAAAGCTTGAATGAATCAGTGAGTTTTAGTACAGAGTCTTGACTTCCTTCAAATCTAATCTACATTTTGGAAGTCAGCTTTAAAAAAGTGATATTGAAAATCGTATTTTCAGCCTTGTCCTGCCAAAGAAGCCCTAAGAACCTTCCCAATCAACCTTTATTCCCATGAAACAACTCCATGGAGCCCAGAAATAAATCCTTTTCCACTTGAAAACAAGATCAAAACCTATTAATGCTTATCAAACAAAGTGGCAAAGTGCTGAATTAAGAGAAAATAGTAACTTTTTCTAGACTATTTACACTGCTGAAGAGTCCCCAGGAATTTTCTACATGGCCTTTGGATGTTTTCTTTAATGCTCAGTGAAGATCACCAACAACATTAGTCTACACAGTAAATTTACAATCCTGCAATATTATTTACACTAACAGAAGTGCACTAAAAATGCACAGTAAGAAGGTAGTCAGAGGCTTCAGAAGATCATTGCACTGGATTTATTCTAGGGGATATGGGAATTACTAACTAATAAATAGGATACTTGTCTCAAGTTTGTAAGTAACAGTACCTGTAAAACTCCTTCTTTCCAGCTTTTCCTTCATCTGTAGGTATTAGCCATCCTCCATCAGCAAGCTGCATCCCATTTCCAGCTAATAAATACTCCTTACTGAAGTAGTCCTGGACGAGAAACTGGAAAGATTCTGCATTTGTGCTGTTAACTTGAATGCAACGTGTAGAAACACCGAACGTGTAAAGCTGCAAACAAATTAGATGAAGACGACAAAATAATGACTATACAGTAAAGAATTCAGGTCAGAGTTTTTGGAGCTCATGCTATAAATTCACAGAAAACCTTTCCTTGAGCTTGAGTCAGCTTTTGTCTGACCTTGTCATTTCATATGTAATCCAGGGAGAATGGATGAATACCTGGCAACTGTTTTAGCAGAACAGCATCAGCATGCTTTAAAAGAGTTTAAAAAAATTCAATAGGCTTGGTACCTTCACTGTAGCAACAGCAAGAGGCTTTTCATATAGACTTAAAATTTAACTGTGTGTTGTCTTAAAACAGCTCTTCATATGGGTTAAAAGTCAACAGCAACTGCAATTGGTGGACCTTTTCCTTTCTTGATGCTGCTTGTGTTTGATTGTAACACTAGAGACACCTTTGTAACCCTTATTATTTGGAATAGTTTTAAAAACCTCGATAGGTAAAGCTACTTAAAAGCTGTAGCAACTGGTATAACAGCTACTGTAAATACTTCTCTCGGCACTGAAGGACATATCTGTTCACAAGCTACTGAGTGTTTGTTTGCTTGTCTTAAGGAACAGACCTCAGGAAAGGCGCACAGTAACAAGCTATCAACATACCTCTTCCGTAGAATAAAAACCAGGAGATTTCTCTTCTACTGCACTTCTCAGAGAGATTCTATTTCTCGCAGATGTTTTAATGACATAAAGACTGCCTGGCTGTGAGCTAATATTTTGCCTATATTTCTTTTTAATTCTCATTTCCTGCAGATCTCTGGCACAGCGGAGATTTGTCATCATCTTGACCATAGCTGAAAGAAAAAAAAAAGAAGTCATCAAAACTTTTTTTACAGTATATACCATTTCAGGTATCCAGTCATATTATAAAAACAGGTCCAGAGAAGCACATTTTCTAGGCCACTCTGAAGATTTTTAGATAATGCAACAGTGAAAATATTCAAAATTTAATGCATTTAAAAAGCAGGGTTTTTTGAAATATGAAATTACTATGAATATGTAAGTCCCTGAACTAAACTTAAATCCACGTATTTTTCTCAGACTGAACTCTATCTTCATAGAAAAGTCCACATGAACAGAAACTGGGTGATGATGGCTACAAAGTCCATATTCCTGAGATTTTGATGTGTTAGTACAGGCTCTCATTCTGCAAACATTCATGCACCTGTTCAAATATAAACGAGTCCTTTGGAAAACACCCAGATTATCCGAATGCAATAGTTGCAAAAGTTATACACACTGGAACATTCAAGAGAGCTTGGAAGGCATAAGCCCACATGCTAAATAAAGTCAAACCACTGAGCATTTAAACTCTGCCTCTCTGAAAATGACACAATCCAGCAATTACTTGGTTAAGCCTACATTTTAATGAGAAAACTGACTGAAAAAAAGCCTCTGTAGAAGTGAATGAAGTATAGAAAGGCTAGACTTTAAGGCTCCTAGAATATTTTACTGAAGTGTCATGTGAAACTGAAATGTTAAATGAAACATAAGCCATCTTAAACACTTTTTTCTGAAGCACTGAGTGAAGACAGTTTTTTTTATATTCTTAATGAACTTTGGAGATGAGATGCATATGCTTCATTAGGAGTGCAATATAAAAATATTAGGAAAATATTTCCTAATTTCCCTGAAAATAAGGCACAACCAAAAACCCAAGCTTAAAAAGAAGCTTCTTTTTAAATAAAAGAAGTCAGAGTATGGAAAATCCTTAAAGGTTCAGTTCTGATAGCTTGTATTCAACAATAGGTAAGTGATTAAAATCTGAAAGTACCTAAATTACCATTTTCTGGGTCAGTGTCTGCTGCGTGCTGGATGCAAGACTGGTGATCCTGAGGTTCAGCCATAGTTTGTTCAGCTGTGACCTGATCTTCCATCTCTTTGGTCAGATTTTTGCCAACTGGCGAGTTGCATCGTTTAACGCTGCCTTGTTCACCGGTAGAAAAGGTCTGCTTGGTTTTGAAGGGTGGAATAAAAGTTTTAACAGCTTTTCCAGATTTGTACAAGCTTCTTGTTTCTTCACTGTCTTTTGCCGAGGCCTTACAGGGAGTAGAAAGCTCTGAAGTACCGTTTGAAGACCGCCTTAGAGCACAGTGCTGAAAAAGGGCAGGTTTAGATTTGAATCCTTTGAAGTCCTGGTCTGGTAGAGTAAGGGTGGGATTCTTGACTTCTTGTCGTTCTTTAGAAGCCCTACAGGGGTGAAAACATTTAAAGATACAGGTTTCAGCTTCCTGACAAGAATCTTTGTCAGGATTTTATATTCCTTAGTAATGGAACTTTCAACACTACGTCAGAAAAAGAGACAAAATAGTCTTTGACATTTTATAAACTGAACACTTAATTTTTATCTAGTGAGAAAAGATAAATACAAAGTGTAAAATTTGTTTAGCGTCTCACTGGTGTACCGCAGCAATGTGCATTATTTGGTAACTGAGTACGTTTATTTTGAAATAAAATTATTAGTCTTAGGTATTAGGGTAGCAAATTATTAATAAGTATTTTAAAAAAGTTACAAGAACTTGTGAGGTTTTAAGAAACTGCTTTAGGAGAACTCCTACATATATTATAAATTTCTCACCCAAAAGGTTGACAAGTTACAGGTTTTAAAGGAACATGGTACATAAATTTTCTTCTGTCTTTGAAAATACCTGTAAGATAATTAGAAAAAAGTCTGAAATGGTACATTACATGGATATTTACAGCACATGATTTTCTATATTACTATAAATACACAGGAAAGTTTCCAGAGTGGATTTAAGCAGCAGCCTTGTTCTTTTCTTTTCCCTCCAAATAAAAACTTCTTATACAAACACTCTCACACTAGCTGCAGACAGATCTAAAGGATAAATGACCACAAGGCTTAACTCTTAAAATTCCCTATTTGTGAGCTTGCAAGATGTTTTTAGACTCCTTAAAGGGAAATGTTTATTACATATTTAATTCCAGGTAGGAATTTTAATTAATTACTGTCTCAAAATATTAAAAGCATCTATGATGCAGACACCTATCAGTGAGTACATTCTTCACAAATTATTATATGATGCAATTACCAAAACTTTTTCATTTTCCTGTAGATACAGTTTTTAACTGAGACATTACAGATCAATAAAATATATTCTTCCTACTGAGACTAGAATTTGTGAGATTTAGGATTGTGAGCAACTGGATGAATTCCTACTGAGCTGGAAATTAAACCAGGGTTTTTGCAGAAGTGGTACATTGCAACAGATTTGGATTCTGCACAGTAAGACATACCATTAATCATACGATTCCAAGTCATCAGACGCATTACCATAGCAGCTTCCCTGAATTTCTATGACTATATTGATAAAAGAAGCCATTAAACCATCATTATATGTTAGTTTATTGGAAATTGAAGAACTCTAAAAGGTAACAACCTACATCAGATGATTGCTTAGAACACAAGACAACTACAATTACCATCAGGGGTGCTTTTTGAAGCTTTCAAAGATCTGGGCGGACTCTTTGTTCTGTTAAATTCAAGCAGTAACTGTCTTTTAATTGGAGGTTCTCCTAGAATAAAAACACAGATTGGTGTTCAGATTGGTTCAGAGTGATGTTCCGTTTAAGTTCAGTTTCTTACCAATATCGTACACTTCAATCATAATTCCTAAATAAAACATTCAAGAAGTCAGAGAAAGCAGAAATAGCAAGTTTTCAGATCACATGTCTGCATTAAATAGCCTTTTTGAACACAGACCCACTTCACCCCTATTTGCAGAAGTTTCTTCTGTACAGAATGATTGCATACTGTGTTACCAAGATTCATTCCCAGACTCCATATAATGAAGTGAACACAAGTGAAACCTTGTCCTCACCTACAAGGCACAAAAAAGTTTAAATGGAAATACTACTACTCATTTTTCACTAGATTTGCACAGAGAAAAAAAAGAAATCTGCTCAGTCAGGAAGAAAAGGAGCAGCAGTAGCTTGCTTTAACTTTCTGATAAAACAGCAAAACCTGCACACCTTCAGAATTACTGATCACAAACGTAGCATGTTACTGCTCATTTAAAGCTGGAAATAGTGCCTGCAGCAAGAACCTTTGTCACTGACACTTAGAAGAAAGAACTTCAACTTCTGTATGACCTAAAAAACAACGCGAGATGCAAAAAACCCCAAAGAACACACTGTGTAGAAATACGGAGTTGAACATATATAAGACAAAGACCTACCACGTGAGGTTTTCTCTTCCAAGGGTCTCTTCCCAAAGGATTTATTTTGAAAGTTTTTATCCAGTCTGCCACTGAAGAGCTGTGCAGCATTAATTTGTACTCCAGAACTGGAAAGATCGTCTTCCATAAAAGCTCTTGCACTTTCCACAGCCTCCAGTTCCAAGTAATTTTTTGGAGTTTGGGGGAAATTGAGATTAATTTCTGCTTTAGCAGCAGCACTGCATGAAACTTCTTCGGACTCTGCTTTCACCCCCAGGTTCAGCTGCCCTTTTCCAAAAAAGCCAGTCTCCTCTCGCTGCAAACTATCTTTCAATAACGTTGAATGCGTGGGTTTTTTACTATGTGGTACGTACTCAGGCATTTTGACACGGTGAGTGCTTGGTAAAGACTTCACTTCCTCAGGGCAGACACTTTTTAAGTGGAAGCCTTCACTGCAGCTTTTGTCTGTTTTGGATTCCAAGAAAACTTTACCAGTCAGAGAATTTACAGGTTGTCCACTGTCTTTAACTGAACTAAGTTGATCTGTAATGCAAAGCCCACTGCTTAAAAAGTCAGATTCTTTTAAAATTGCCTTTGCTTTTTGATAGGCACTTTCAGAAACTGCTACCTGCTTTCCACTTGCAGTGCTGAACCCAAAAGATGGATCTGAGATCAATACAGTGCTGGCATTTTCTTCCCCTTTTGGTAATGCTATCTGCATTTTCCCAGGAACTATTTCAGTGTGCAACTCAGATTTTTCAACATCTTCCTCGAGTAAATATGCTCCTTCTGCATGTGATGAGCGATTACCTTCCATTTCAGAAAAGAGCTGTCTAGCTTTCCTGAGCGACTCTTCAGATAGTTGTACAGGCTTACCGCTTGCTGTACTAAAAAATCCAAGATTGCTTATGGAAGAATCCGACTGCTTTATCTGCTTATCTGGAACAGGCAAATGCCCCAGAGGCTGAATATTCTGCTGAAAGCATCGCCTCTGAGAATTTGAAACAGACTTTGTGTGTGCAAACGTGTTTGTATCTCGGTGACCATTTTCACTAGCACTCTCATTTACTTCAGTACAATGGGATGTGGCCAAATCAATCTCTTCGTTTCTTGTAGGATTCAAAAACTCAGCAGAATTAGGACACTCGGTATGAATGATGGAAGATGAATTTCCAGCAATTCCTGTTTGATTCGTTCTTGAGTTAGTCTCAATTACATTTTTTACAGGTTCACTGTAATCTTCCCAAAACATTTCTCTGACTCTTGCTAATGCACTTTCCGAAACAGGAACTGCTTTACCTTTTGCTGTACTAAACACCGTTTGTTTCAGATCACCCTTTGGATTTTCAGCCTCAAGTGTAGTTTCCTTTAAGCTGGTTAAATTGGTTTCATCTTTAGGAAGGCTGACTAGTGACTGGTTTTGGCAAGCACTAACTATGGTGTCTGTGTTTGTATCAGCACAAGGGTCACTTAAATGTTCCAAGTCAAATTCCTTACTGTCACGGTTCAAATGAAAAGAGCTCATTTTTGAAGTTAAGAGGAGGGATTCATTAGATTTATTGTTACTATCCTCACCAAATAAAGTATTTTTTGTGTCTCCAGGCACAGAATTATCTTCAAGGTCATTTGATACCTTCATTAAATGCAAAGATGCAGCAGAGTGCTCAGGGAAGTCATGCATGTTTTCCAAATCATCCCTCTCTTTTGCTGAATATTCCATCTCTCTCTCTGCAAACGCTTTTCCATCTTCAGACGAAAAAGTTCTGCTTAAATCCCTCTCCTGCCTGGGAAGGAATTCTAACTCTGCATTTCCAGGTCTCACGTCAGCCTTATGTGCGTATGAAGTTACCAAACTTCTTTCACAGTCTTCACCTCGATCAACAAATGTGTCTGCTTCAGCAGTATCAAGAATCACACCGTGTTTAATGGGACTGCCCTCTACTGCCTGCTTACACTGATCTCCTGGTTCTTCAGGAACAAGCTTTTTATTATAATTAAGTTTTTCTGGGTCAGTTTGAGCAATGTTTTCAATACACAAGTCACAGTCTTTGACACAGTTCTTAGGATATTTCCTTTCCTTTAAGGGCTTCTCAAAACTGCCATTATGTTCTTTTCCTAAATCATCACTTTCTGCAAAAAACTGTTCAGCTTTAGCCAAATATCCATCAGTAATTGTTATCTGCTTGCCACTAGCAGTACAAAAAACAGACAGGTAACTCCCCTTCACTTCATTTTTTTCAACTTCCACCCCTTGCTTGAAAGGTATTTGATGACGACAACGGTAAGAACCTAATTTTATCCTACTTTCATTCACTAACAGGATCTTATCATGGGTGGGGTCTTCTCCTTCCATATTTTTACTACTTGTCTTTTGTTTATCAGAGTTCTCCAAGATATTTGTATCTCTTTTTCCACACTGCACACTGAGCAAGGGTAGAGAATCATCCAAAGCTGCATCAGAAATGGCTATTGCCCCACCAGCTGGAGTTTGAAATTTTTGTGACAAGTCTTCATTTCCCTGCTTTCTGTCTTCTCCTTCCTGATAAGGAGACAGGTTTTCCATTTCTGCTGATAAACCATGTCCTTCTGCAGTTGTAATAGCATCTCCTAGACATGTCCCATCTAATGAGTCTTCTTGCAAACTACCTTCAACTTGGCAATCTCCTCTATTCAAAAATGCTTTGGAAGCTTTCTGATCCTGGTTATGGTTTTTAATGGGAGACAGACTGTTGATGGCAGTATTAGTACTATTCAAATTCACATTTTCAGTATCATTTATTGATCTTCTTGTCTGATTTCCCATATTTTCCTTAGACAGTGTAGTAACATTTTCCTCTTCTTTCTGTGCATGGTAGGAAACTGCATTTATGCTTCTGAAATCCGAACAAACTGGTTTTCCTTTGTTTTCTTTTGCCAGGCCTCTGACAAGATTACAGTTAGAAGACATATGCCCATCTGAATTCTGACATCTAGTACTAGGTTTTGAAGATTTAAACAAATAGTTATCATCATCCAAGTCCCTGAAGAGCTCTGCAGATCTGTTCAAAGCAGCTTTTGAAATATTTATTTTTTTACCTCCAGCTGAAGTAAAGCCTACAAAATTGGAAAATCTGTCCTGTTGAGCTACTGGAAAGCTATCCTCGGATATTCCACTTTCATTTCTGTGGGAGTTAGTAAAAGTAACCTTTTTGTCATTTTTAGGGAAAACCACTGCATTTCCTTTTTTGCATTCCACCACTTCAGTGTCTTCACTTGTGTCTTCCTCCTGAGTGTAATACTTGTCATTTTTTACTGGATTCTCAGATTTGAAAGTGCTACAAAAATCAGCATCTCTCCTTGTTTCAGAAATATCTTCCACATTCTTTTTTCCATGTGTTTCTACAGTTCTGAATTGCTGAAAGGCATGACTTTGTATCATGTTACTCTGCTTTCTAAACTGTGTGAACTCAAACTGACTACCTGTTTCTTCCAGGATACTAGAAAGTTCAGCAATTTCAGCTTCTTGGCTTGCTGTCAAGGTTTGATTTGTTTCTTGCAAGGACTGTGGGCTTCCAGGAAAGCTTTTACACAAGCCAACTTTATGTGGAATAAACCGTGTATGCCTGGGCTGAAGAAAACTTGTCTGTGAATCTAACGAATCAGATAAATTACAGCCCAATTTGCTTTCTGAATCCGAGATAACTGCATTTTCCTTTTTAACTTGGGAAAAGTTTCTGACTCTTTCCATGGAATAGGCTTCAAAGCATTCATTTTCAATATCTTTGAAGAGCATTTTGCCTTTTGCTATACTGACTTCAGAGAATTTAATCTGCTTATTGGAAGCAGTTTGGAAGCCACCAAAGCCCAGATTTAAATGGCATGGGTTAAGATTTCCTGAGGACTTCCCTTTGTACTTTGGGTTCTCATTTGGCTCTCTGCTGGAATACATAGGTGCTGCTTGTTTATCTTCTGCAGAAATTACTTCATTTAATGATTTATCATCTAGACAATCTAACAATTCTTTAGCAATCTCTGCAGCTACATTACTGAAAGCAGCTGCTTGAGGGCTTTCATTGTTTTCAACTGACTTTGGCTCTTCATTGTTGGCTATAACTTCTGAAGAGGCAGCTGCATCTGCTTCCTCCCCTTGTTTTAATCCAGTACTATCATTTTCTGAGCAGTTTATGCCCAAAGGTCCAAGTACTTCTCTACAGTCACCTACCAACGACTGGTCTGTAGCCCACCTGTTATCAGTTGGCATTTTATTGCAGCAATCACTACTGACTTTGTTTACACCAAAGTTGATCTGACCAGAAGTATTACAGAAACCGCTGTTTCCTGCAGACGTAGCGTCACGGTGCCTATCAATTGAGTGTTCGTTATGTCTAGGAGACGACCATGCGAGTTCTTCTTTCGGGCTGTGAGGTACAGTAGTTCCATCATTCACATTCGCACTCACATACTTATCTTCCTCACCTTTCTCTAAGTGACAGCCTTTAGGGAACAATCTGGAACGCCTTCTTGCCATGAGGCATGCTGAAGCCAGAACTTTACGTTTTATAGTTGAAATTATTTCGCTATTTAAACAATCTGTTGTGTCTTCTTTCTGTGTATTAGATAATTCTATGCATTTTAATGATGTAGGTTGATCTGCTATTGCATTTTTCCCCGGGTCTCTTAGGTCTTCCTGCTTCAGCCTATTGCTGAAGGAATTATCAGATGACTTATCCATTATATCCATTTTTAAAGTACAAGTGCTGAAATTATTTTCGTTGATATCTGATTGCAAACGCTTTCTCTCAGCAAGCGGCAAGCAGTCTACAAGAGAAGATATTATGGAAAAACACAGGTTAAAGTAGTTTGCATTTATTCAAACAAATGAAAATTCAGATTTTCATAACATTTTAGCCCATAAGATCATTCCTACATGCACTTAAACACTGGTTTATAAGTATCACTTGTGTTTTCAATGTGAACACCTTGACAGGACTGGAGATCTTTTTAATTTAATCCTGTTCTAATAGCCAGAAATGAATGAGTAGGGTGCAGTTACTGTTATTAGTTTAAAAAAAAAAATCAATTTTTAGTTGTAATGAAATTTGAAGAGAGGGACTTCTATTCCTTGTGTCTCAACATAACGATTTGTTTCGAACTTTAAAGAAGAGTACTTCAAATCCTAGTATTAAGCAGTTGTTCTAGCAAGAACAGCAGCTTTTAAAATTAGGAGTATGTGCTTGCTTTCATGATATATTGTGGGCTTTTAAATATTTTGTGCTTTTGGAAGAAACATATGTACAGCCTTATACCCCCTGATTTTAGGAATATAACACAGCTTCGCCATTCTTTATGGTCTCCTAGAAATTAGTCCGAGAGACTATGGATGTCTAAACAGCATTGACAAATAGAATCAAGCTTGTCAATCAGAATAATGGTTCAAGGTGGAAGTTTCTATCCCAGAAACTACTCTGAGACTAAACCTGTAAGTTCACACCAGACTACTTGAAAATAACGCTCTATCACTATTATAACAGACCAATTCCATATCTTGATTCCATATCTTGCAGAGCTACTTTATCACAAACACAAGATTTTACAGGATTTTAACTGCAACCTTCGTATAGAAGGGTCTTTAAATAAAGAATCCTCCACAGATAATGAAAAGCTTAATAATATACCTTGCTCATCAACACTGGCCACTTGACAACCTTTAAATTCATACAAATCAGATTCTGAATGTGGTAATACAGGATGAATAGGTGATTCAGAGGTTACTTCCTTCTGTATTTTTTCTTCTTGATACAGTAAAGTATTATTTATTGTATAAATGAATCTCTTGGATCTCCTTCTCAAGCTGGATATCATATTCAGGTTTTTAAAGCCAGACTCTGCAAGAGTATTTTCGCTCCTTATTAAATGTAGGTCACTGCAATTAGCTGGAGATGCAGCGCCACACACAAGCGGGTGAGACAGAACGTCAGTTATGACAGATTTAGAAGTCGCATTTAAATGCTTGGAAAAGCTGCCACTGTAGACTAGAGAATACTCCGTGACATCCGTACTTTCAATTAAAAAAGAATTACAGTTGAAGAAGCTCATTTTGGAAACCTCAGCTGCACATCCTTTTACTGACTTTGGATTTTGAACACTCAGCGACACAGATTTCACTGGAGTTATTTCCAATGTTGGGCTGCTTTCAGAATTTTTCACTTCATAGCACTTTTCTGACAAATTGATGCTCAAGAGCTTCTGTGCTTTTACCAAGCCTGAAGCATTCAGTAAAGTTGTTTCCACCACATCATCCTTCGTCATTAGCACTGACTTTTCTAAATTTGTCTCTCTACCTAAGTCAGAGGGTGGAGAGCTACATCCAGACATCTCCAAGAGAGTGACATCAAGATCAGATAAGTTCAGTTGAGACCACTGGCTTGATGAAAACAGCGCATCTTCTTTCACAGGCTTCTCATTCTCAGATGACTCGTGTGTTCTATAATCTTGCACATCTCCTGCCATCCTGAGTGACTCCAACTCCTGTTTGTTACCTATTAAACAGCCGTCTTTACCACGCCCTGTATCTTCATCTGTGTTTCGGACTAAAGAACCCTTCATGTCAATAGAGCAGCTCTTTTCAGTCCCGCCAGTTGTTTTCACTTCCTGTGAAATGCCAGCCTTTCCTCTATTACACTGCTCAGAAGGAACATCCCCCTTTCCTTGGGCTCTATCTGTGTTTATCTCACACGTCTTTACTGCATCCAGAGCCTGTGGCATCAGCAGAGTTCCATCGGACTTTGCAGGCATGTTGAATGTATCCTCAAAGCTGTTCATCTCACCAAATAAGCCATCTAACATCTCTGACTCTGAAGAATTTAGAGAAGATGGGGAGAGGAAAAGTAGTAAAAAAGTATTAGGAAATAACTTAGGAACAGCATTAATTTTGGTATAGGCAAATACAGATTTCAATTCCATGGTCATTAGTTCTACTCAGGAGCGAGTTTGGAAAGATAAATCTACATGTCTTTAAAGTAAGTTACTCTCCAGCAGCTGGTAGAGGCAGCAGGAGGCAAAGGACATAGACGGAGATGCCCTGGCCTCCTGATGACTCTGGTGGTTAAGCCAGCTTCCAACACAAAAACTAGCTGCCTCAAAGAATATACATTTTTTTTCCCCCCCTACAGACAGGAGAATGAGTAGTAAGTTTTACAAGGCAAGTGCCTAGATTTTTCCTTCTAAAATTTATACCTGGTAGTAGGCACCAAACACCCTGAGCAGCTGCCTGGTTTTGTCTATAGCTGGCAGCTAAGGAAACTTATTTAAGGATTAATCGCTTTGATATAGATTAGTATAGTATCCAGAAAATATTCAAATTTTTAATTGATTAGGAAACTTTTAAGATTGGCACAAATATTAGAAAAATAATGAGAATGTTTTGTTTGTGGGTAGAAATAATACACAGTGAGGGAAAAATAACCAACTCTACTTTGTAGACACCCTTAAAACCTTATACATTCCAAATAGAAGTATTACCTTCTCAAACGTATGAAACTAGACCCCACCTATCAAAACCGTTCACATTCAAAAAGATAGCTAGGTTTAACTTTGACAGCACTTTTTAAGGCTTTTTCATACCAAAGAAATCATAAAGTACTTAGACAATATTCTTGACCTCTGTTTTCTTTGGGAACATAACCAACAGCTTAACTTTTTCCATAAGCCTTCTTAAGGCACAATTCCCATAATTCAAAACCATTTCCCTTATTAGAAAATTTAAATAACCTAGTGTCCAAAAGATTTTCCATCTGGAAGTCCACAGAATATTTCCCTTCTGCATCCTTGGTCACACACATCCAACTATTCGTAATACATCCATTAAGGGTTCATGCCCACGCTGGAGCCATAAAACCACTTCTCTCATCACACCTCTTGAACAGTTACTCATTCTCTTTACTTCCTATTTTTGCCTGAGTGGCAGAAGGTATTACTGAGCAAGTTCTCAAAAAGAAGAAACGGTAACACTACAGATTGTGTGTACAGGTCCTTTTCCCTTACTAAAAGTACATTCCTCTGGAGTAACTTCTATGTCCACATCCCTTCATCCTGTCAACAGAGCTTTCTAAAAAAGACACAGCTGTATTTCTTCTTATTTACACAGGAGCCATTATCTTTAGTTGAAAAAAGAAAACCAGGAGTATCAGAGAGATTGTAAAGAGACTTGTAGTGTACTGAATACCCTCATGCCAAGGGAAAAAAAATAAAATCAGGGAAGTCCATTTTGACTTCTAAACTCACTGGAGGGGCAGTGAAATGACAACCCCAAAACCAAGGACTGCACAAAAGAATTCTCCTGTTTTCCTAGTAAGTGCCCTAACTAGGCAATAACTACTTAATTTGTTTTCCCAGTTCCTCTCCTGGCTAAATAATAAAATACTCGGGGGGGGGAAGCGGAAAAGAAGCTTAAAAATGAGATGTTTCTGCTCTGAAGTAATATATTGACTGACTGTTACACGATATTGCCCCATTTCAGGTTGGAATCCTTATTAGCAGAGAGTATTGAACCTATTGCTCCCTACTTCATGAAGAGATCTAAGCACTAGGGTTTAGGTAGACCATTTACTCAGGTCAGGGTCATAAATGGAATCCTGTCATTTTGTTTTTTGTATTTTGAATTAAAGAGCCTAAATATGAAGTTCTGGGCAATAGGCCAGGGTGAAGTACCTAAAATTTTACAGAATTTCATGTTTCCTGTTAGTTTTTCAATTTAAATAGCTTCCCAGTCAATGCTGATTACTGTATATTTGAAGAATCGTAACTTTGAACCCATGGTTATGTATGTACACCACAGCTGTGAATTCTGCTACAAGGGCCAGATGCCTAAAGCTTAGTATTAAAATGACCAGCCTTAGACTTGTTTAAACCAGGGATGTGAACCTTAGGAATTAACGAATGGGTTAGAAATAAATATGCTTAATGACTATACGCAAACTTAGCTCCTTTTGTAAAATTCTGAAGTGTTAATACATGGCTGTACGTAACAGTACAGTTTAAAAAAGTTCTCCTCTTCCCCCGTATTATTACACAAAAAAATAAAAATAAAATCCAGTAAAAAAAACCCTTTGAAATAGTTGGTAGTTCTCGTACTTTGAATGGAGTGCATATATTCAAGTCTCACTGCTACTAAGGGCACAACTGACACAACATAAATAATTTCATCGTATTGTACATATTAAACATATTCAAATCAATATTATGATCTCAGCTTCTCTGACTGAAACAAAATGCATACCTACTAAAACCAACTGCATTTCATAGAATCA